TGACTTGGAGCCGCCTTATCGCCTCGCCGGGTGTCTCCCCGGGTAGGTCCCACTGGATGTTGTTGATCTCTGTCTTGCACAGCTGCTGTCCCGTGTCGGGGTCCGTGGGTGCTGGCGCGGGTCAGGCCGTCGGTGCTGCCGTGCATCCCGGCCGCAAGTCTTCAACGCACCGGCCTCGCTGTCCTGGCCGGAAGGCTCGCGGACTGCCCGCGACAATTCTGGCTGCTCGCCTATCGGGGTTCTGCGGGGAGAGGCGGGCCGCATGGTTGGCCGCCAGGCGGGTGTCGGATCGTCTCCGGGAGCCAGGGCGGACGCTGCCCTGTGGTGCGTGGGGGGAGGCCCCTTTCGCTGGGGCGCGCCTTCGGGCCTGCGCCCGCCGTCGCTCCCGGGCGCGTCCCCTTCGGTCAACGCAGGACTCTCGCCGGTCTCGGAGGTGCCGCTGGTTGCGCCAGGCGCGCGCGCGTCCGGCGACACAGCTTCCGTTGCCAGAACGCGAGATTATTTGTCCGTCGCGTCCCGGGCGCCAGGAGAGAGCGCCCGGGTTTCGCCGCCCGTTCGAGCGGGTTCACTGGCAGGGGAAGGGGGGCGAATAGGCGCGAAGGGTTTCTCCCGACGAGCCAGTGTATGGCTTCGCTGTCCTGCGCCTGGACGGTTGGTCCGTGGCCCCCCTGTTGGGTCTGTGGCGCTCCCAGAGGACTGCTGACGGTCTGATTGTTTCGAGGGGGAGGTGGGGAGGCGCGGTGTGGCAGGCGAGCCCCTGCTGTTCCGCGATCTCGCTTAGCTGACTGGCGCGGCTGCCGTCAGCCCTTTCGGGGGCCACCCCCTGCCCGCCCAGTTCTACTCCAGAGACTCGGATGAAGGCTTGTGCCACTTCCGCACCTTCAGAGGCTTCCGCCGCTTCGGGCCCCCGATACTCCGCGGCCTCCGCAGCCTCCGCCGATTCCGCCGCGGCTTCCCTCTCCTTTTCTCTGCCCTGCTGCAGCTGCTGAGGGAGCAAGGGTACCTCTGTGTCTTCTCGTGGGTTCTGCTGGCTCCCAGAGGGGGGTGTTGTTGCTGTGGCAGCTGCGGGGTGCTGTTGCTGCAGCACCTGTAGCTGTTGCTGTGGCTGCTAAAAGTCTTCTCGTGGGTTCAGCTGCTGCTGAGGCAGTGGTTGTGAGGGGGGTGTTGTTGCTGCTGCAGCTGTGGGGTGCTGTTGCTGCTGCTGTTGCTGCTGTTGCTGCAGCTGCGTGGTTATGTTGCTGATGCTGCTGATGCGGTTGCTGTTGCTGTAGCTGCTGCGGCTGTTGCAGTTGCTGCTGCTGCTGCTGTCCTGCTGCTGTGGCTGCTGCTGCAGCTGCGGCTGTTGCTGCTGCTGCTGCGGCAACGGCTGCAGGTGCTGCTGCTGCTGCTGCTGCTGCTGTACTGTTGCTGCTGTAGCTGTTGCTGTTCGGCGGCCGCCGCCGCGCCAGCGGCCTCGCCGCGGGCGGCCGCGGGGGCGGCCGCGGCGGCGCGGGCCACCGAGCCCGCCGCCGCCGCCGGCAGCGGGGCCCGGCAGGCGGCAGCAGCGTCCGCCGCGACAGCGGCCGCCACGCGGCCACGGCGCCGCCAGCCGCCGCCGCCCCGGAGGGGATCCGGCGGCGGCGGCAGCAGCGGTGGCGACGGCAGCGGCGGCAGCAGCGGCAGCAGCGGCGGCGGCCGCGCCGCCGGCGGCCCAGGGGCGGCCGCGGCGGCGCCGGCCACCGCGCCCTCAGCCGCCGCCGCCGCCGGCGGGGAGCCAGCAGCGGCAGCGGCAGCGGCGGCGGCGGCGGCGGCGGCGGCGGAAACCACCGCCAGCCAGCCGGCCGCCTCCGACGGCGGCGGCGGCAGCGGCGGCGGCGGCAGAGGGCCGCAGAGTCCAGGTGCGGCGTCCCGCCGCGCCGCCGCCAGCCGCTGGCGGCGGCGCAGCGCGGCCCCCGAGAAAGCGGACATGGCCCTGGCCCGAGACCGCACCTGAGTGAGGGGCGGGCTCGAGCCGAGACGGCTTGAGCCAGAGGCTACGGAAGAGAGGCCCGCTACGCGAAACGTCAAGAATTGGGAGATCCAGGTCCGCCAAAACACCGGTCGGCGGATGTAGAAAAATTCGCGCAACGGGAAGGGATGACTGGAAGGCAATGGAAGGATATCAAATATTGCACGCTCGCGTACCTGGCGTGATTCTCCCCCCCTCATCCCCTCCCATCTACCCTCCCCCGTTTTCCCCACTAGCCTGCCCCCCCACCCCCGCCTTGCCCGACCAACCCCCGCACCCCACACCCAGACCCCGACAGTCGCGGCCTCCCAGGTTCCCAAAGCTGCTGCGGCGGTCGGCGCGGCAAGGCCAACACTCTTGTGCTGACCCAATGGTGGGGGGGGAGGACTCCTCGGACTCCTCCTCCTCCTCCTCCTCCTCCTCCTCCTCCTCCTCCTCCTCCTCCTCCTCCGCATCATCCGCCCTTTTCCGCCTCTTCCTCGTCCTCGTCCTCGTCCTCGTCCTCGTCCTCGTCCTCGTCCTCGTCCTCCTCCTCCTCCTCCTCCTCCTCCTCCTCCTCCTCCTCATCCGCTGCACGAAAAACCAAACTACTCGACGCGGAAACCCCCAAATGTGCATCTCATGTTCTGGCACGTCCCGTTGTGTCTGAGCAGGAGCGTTTCGGCCTGTGGCGACGGAGCGCTCCCTTAGCGGTTCCCCCTTGGGGCGCCCGAGTTATATGCCGGCTACGTCGCGGTGGTCATGGGCTCCTCCTCCTCCTCCTCCGCTTCATCCGCCCCTCATCCGCTCCTCCTCGTCTCTGAGAAGGAAAGGAGTCGGGGATGCCAACGACCAGCGTTTCGCATGAGACGTCCCAGAAATCTGGCTGCGAACTGGCAATTGTAACCACCCCCTGGAGACTCCCTGGAAGCTCCCTGTGAGTGAGTCTGAACGTGGTGAGTATGAGTATGAGTGCGCCTGAGCATGAGGGAATCTGAGCGTCAGTGGATCTCGGCGCGCGTGGCCTGAGTACGAGTGCCATGAGTATGAGTGAGTCTGAGCGTGAGTCCCAGTATGAATGAGCAGTGTGTGTGTGTGTGTGTGTGACTGGACTGTTGCATGAGTCTTGGTATGACGCATCTGAGAGTGCGTGTATCTAAATGTGGATAGGGAGAAGCAGGCGGGAGCTGCGGGGGACGCCGCTCGACAGATCCCGATCATCTGGGCGCGCACGGTCAAGTGCCCCCTCCATGGAGACTCCTCCCTGGGGTGCCCAAGTGCAACATCAGCTACATCGCCGTGATCACGAGGCTCTCAACAGAGAGAAACCTGATGCGCCTCATGGGCAACCGCTCAGGACAGCCCGACAATCTGAGTGCAAACGTAGAAACGAAACCACACCTGGTGTCTTTCCCTTGGGGTGCACAACTGCTACGCCTACTACATCGCGGTGAGCATCCCCCAACGAGGAAAGTCTGGGAGCCAAAACAGGCACGCCGCCCGAGACATCCTCACGATCTGCGAGACATCCGCCCGGGCCCGTGCCAAATCCCCTGGAGGCTCCTCCCCGGGGTGTAGCTCCTCCGCAAGGTGCCCAGGTGCCACGCCTGCCCTCGCGGTGGGCCCTTCGCCTCCAGAGGAGAAAGTCTCGGGGTGCAAAACGGGCACGCCGCCCGAGACATCCCACCCACGGTCGGAGAGAGCGAGCGGGCCCGTGCAACACTCCCTGGCGGCTTCTCCGGGGGGGGGCCCACATGCTCCGCGGTGAGCACCGGACCCCCAGAGAGGAACGCCTGGGGCACTGCAACAGGCAAACCACCCGAGACATCCCCACAAGCTGGGCGCGAACGGGGAAATGGCATACCCCCTGGCGGCTCCTCCATGGGGTGCCCGGAGTGCTACGCCTGCTGTGTCGCGGAAGTCGTGGGGCTGTTAAAAGAAAAACGGGGGGGCCGAATCCAGCAAACCGCCGAAGACATCGCCACAAACTGCACGCGAACGGGGAAATCAGATGCTCCCTGGTGGATCCCCCCTGTGGCGCTCGAGTGTCACGCCTGCCATGCAGCGGGGATCTTACGGCTTTCACAAGAGAGAAGTCGGGGGCGCCGAAGCAGGCAAACCGCCCGAGACATCCCCACAAGATGGGTGCGAACGGGGACATGGCATATACCCTGGCGGTTCCTTCGTGGGATGTGGCACGCCTGCTGTATCGCAATGAGCAGCAGACTCCAGTCGTGACGAAGTGTGACGAGTGTGTGACGATGCGCGACTGAGTACGAGGGCGCCGAAGTGTGTCAGTGAGTACGTCTGTGTGCGAGTGAGTCTGAGTGCGAACGCGGTGTGAGTGAATGGGTTTGTGTGTAAGTTTGAGTCTGTTTGAATGAGTCTGTGTAAGGGTGGGTCTGTGAGAGTGAGTGCGTCTGAGTACCACAGGGGAATGACTCGGTCTGAGTTTGAGTCTGAATATGAGGGAGGGAGCTTGGGTTTGTGTGAGTCTGAGCGTGACTGATCTGAACGTGAGTGATCTGTAGGAGTGAGTGTGAACGAGCCTGAGTGTGAGCGAGTCTGGAAGAGTGAGTCTAGGGATGAGTGGGTTTGAATATGAAAAACTGAATGTGGGCGATTCTGAGTCTAAGATTGTCTAATTGTGGGTGAGTCGGAGCATGTGTGAGTATGAATACGATTAGAAAAGGGTTCTGAGTAAGAATTAGCTGAGTGTTCTGGCTGTGAGCGAGTCTGAGTGTGAGTGAGTCTGAGTGCGTGTGAGCCTGAGTGCCAGTGATCGGAAGTATGACTGACTGAGTTGGGGGAACAACTCTGAAGGAGAGGAGGGGAGGTGAGGCGGAGGCGTCGCACCAACCCCATCTTAGAATATGGAGACAAAACGCCGAGAACGCTTGAAGTCCAGGGCCGGCACCTTCTCATGGAAGGGGGAGGAGGGGGGGTGGATCCCCAGCGGAGAACAAAGAAGTTGTAGCGCACGCGCAAGCGAGCTTCAGAGGGGGGGGCCCCTTTCGCATGGTGCCATTGCGTCCTCCGCGTGCTCGCTGTCCAGCATCTCTGCGGAGCGAGGCGGAGGGGCCCACGACCCCACCGCCTGCCTGGATGCCTCCCAAATGGGGCCAAACCAAGACGTGGCTCCCAGATTACACTGCACTGCCGACGCATCAGGGGTGCGGGGCCGTAACAAACCTGGCCACGGGTGACACGGGATCGCTGGCACATCGACGACACACTCGCGGTGCAAAGCGACCTGGGACTCCCGTCTGCCCCAGCCCAGTTGGGAGGCATGCCCGCGCCTTCGCCCCTGCACCTGCACCAGAAGAAGAAAAAAACAGAGAATCAAACTCTTGGCGCTCCGCGCGGATTTCTTGGATCTGCGCTGGACCCCCCTCCCTGGCGCGAGGAACGCGCCACGGGCGGCGCCAGAGGCGCCGCCAGGGGGGTCCCCGCGCGGATCTACGAAATCCGCGCGGAGCGCCAACAGCTTACGTTTATGGCGTTTTTCCTCTTCGAACCTGCACGTGCGAAGGCTCCAGGCCCCGATGCGGATGACGCAGGCGCTGCCGGACACGCTTGGCGATGTCGGGAGGCGCGCGGGGCCGCGAGGCTGGGACGGGCACATGCCACGGATCGACGGACACGTGCCACGGATCGGCGGGCCTGTGCGGACGCCACTGGTCATGGTCAATCCAATCGGCGGGCTCTGGCCAGTAACCGACATCGTCAGCACGGCTGCCCGCAAACGGCTCGGGGCGGACCAAGGGACGGTACGTCGCCGCCCGCGTTGGATCGGCTGGCTCCGCCGCTGGCACATACTTCGCCGCCCGGGTGCAGAGCGGCGTGCCGAGCGAAGTGGGGCGGACGGTGGCGCTGGGGCCGAGCGAGAGCAGCCTGGCGAGGGTCGCCTCCAAGGACGGAGCCGCGGCCTCGCCCTCCTCATGTGGGGGGGACCGACAAAAAAAACGATACCGCCCACTCCGCGGATCTCTCCCTGGTTGCGTTCTGACCAAAATTTCGAGGCGACCCAAGCCTCGACGACGAGGGCCTCCAGGGAGGCGCAGCGGCTCCGGTGCCTGTTTAACCTCTGACTCCTGGCCGCCCTCGTCCTCGACCTGGAAGGGGCCGCTCGCGCCAGGCAGCGCCTCAGCCGCGCCTCGGGGACGCACTGATCGAAGGGGCACTGGGACACAAAAATAAATACAGTCGAGGCGACGACCTAGGGAAAACTAAAGAAGGAACGAGGCCCCTTTGCTTCATAAGTAAAACTTCGAAAACATAAGGACACCTGAGGCAAGCTGCGAAACACTTAAGGAACGCGGAGCCCCTCCCCAACGAAAAGGGTTCCTTCTTCAGGGCCCCGACTGTACACACACACACGCACACAAATAACAGAATTCTCCATATGTTCCCATATGTTCTGGGTTCTTGTCTCCCACCCCCACTTCCCATATTTTCCCATTTTGTTCTAGGGCATCAACGATTAATTGTGTCTGTTTGTTTTTGTCCCTACCTAGGCTCTGCCTATTACCCTGTGTGCTTAAAGGGCCGGGCAATGGAAACCGCCCCGGGCGGTTCCCCCGGCATCCGCCCCGCGGTTCCCCCAGCTATATCCCCTTAGCTTGGCGTTGCTTATCTCATCTTAGCTGAGCTTATTCCCAACCCTCCTTGGTTGGGTATTCGTTTTGAATAGAGCAGTGTGGTCGCGTCCCTTCTCCCTTCTCCCTTCTCCCGCCTCCCGCCTCTTCTTGTCTTGCCTGCGGGGGGCTGCGATCTGTGAAACTGTCGCCACTTTCGAGGCCTGCTGGGGGATCCGGCATAAAGGGTAATTGCGGCAGATTCAAATTAGAACTCGCCATCCTTGGGGGGCTGCGATCTGTGAAACTGTCGCCACTTTCGAGGCCTGCTGGGGGGTCCTGCATAGAGGGTAACCGCGGCAGATTCAAATTAGACCTCGCCATCCCTGGGGGGCTGCGATCTGTGAAACTGTCGCCACTTTCGAGGCCTGCTGGGGGGTCCTGCATAGAGGGTAACCGCGGCAGATTCAAATTAGACCTCGCCATCCCTGGGGGGCTGCGATCTGTGAAACTGTCGCCACTTTCGAGGCCTGCTCTGGATCCCTGGGGGGCTGCGATCTGCGAAACTGTCGCCATTTTCGAGGCCTGCTGGGGGGCCCAGCACAGTGAGGGCCACGGGCAGATTCAAATTAGACCTCGCCATCCCTGGGGGGCTGCGATCTGCGAAACTGTCGCCATTTTCGAGGCCTGCTGGGGGGCCCAGCACAGTGAGGGCCACGCGCGGATTCAAATTAGACCTCGCCATCCCTGGGGGGCTGCGATCTGCGAAACTGTCGCCATTTTCGAGGCCTTGGGGGGCCCAGCACAGTGAGGGCCACGGCAGATTCAAATTAGACCTCGCCATCCCTGGGGGGCTGCGATCTGCGAAACTGTCGCCATTTTCGAGGCCTGCTGGGGGGCCCAGCACAGTGAGGGCCACGCGCGGATTCAAATTAGACCTCGCCATCCCTGGGGGGCTGCGATCTGCGAAACTGTCGCCATTTTCGAGGCCTGCTGGGGGGCCCAGCACAGTGAGGGCCACGGGCAGATTCAAATTAGACCTCGCCATCCCTGGGGGGCTGCGATCTGCGAAACTGTCGCCATTTTCGAGGCCTGCTGGGGGGCCCAGCACAGTGAGGTCCACGGGCAGATTCAAATTAGACCTCGCCGTCCCTGGGGGGCTGCGATCTGCGAAACTGTCGCCATTTTCGAGGCCTGCTGGGGGCCCCAGCACAGTGAGGGCCACGCGCTGATTCAAATTAGACCTCGCCATCCCTGGGGGGCTGCGATCTGCGAAACTGTCGCCATTTTCGAGGCCTGCTGGGGGGCCCAGCACAGTGAGGGCCACGCGCGGATTCAAATTAGACCTCGCCATCCCTGGGGGGCTGCGATCTGCGAAACTGTCGCCATTTTCGAGGCCTGCTGGGGGGCCCAGCACAGTGAGGGCCACGGGCAGATTCAAATTAGACCTCGCCATCCCTGGGGGGCTGCGATATGCGAAACTGTCGCCATTTTCGGGGCCTGCTGGGGGGCCCAGCACAGTGAGGGCCACGGGCAGATTCAAATGAGACCTCGCCATCCCTGCGGGGCTGCGATCTGTGAACCTGTCGCCACTTTCGAGGCCTGCTGTGATCCCCGTTTTCGAAGTGGCTAGGAGTGCTCAGGAATTGTAAATCATCAGCTTTATCAAGCCCTTTTCCTGTAGCCAGTGTCCTGCGAGTCTCCCGAATTCCGTCTGCAGACATATGTAACCCTCGCTCCGTCATCGCCCCCTTTATAAAGTATCCTAAACTATTTGCGCCCCGCTTTTGCGCAGGGGTTGGGTACGTCGCCAGGGTAATTTCATCTTAGCTTAGCTTAGCTTCATCTTAGCTTAGGTTTATCTTAGCTTAGCTTACCTGTACCTTAGCTTCGCTGAGCTTTAGCATAGCAGAGCACAGCATAGCACAGCATAGCGTAGCATAGCATAGCGCAGCATAGCACTAGCATTGGTGTAATTCCCTACCTAGGCTCTGCCTAGAGGGTTAGCTTAGCTTATCTTAGCTTAGCTTAGCGCAGCGCTGCATTAGCATAGCATAGCATACCATAGCCAAGCATAGCATAGCATAGCATAGCACAGCGCATAATAACATAACATAGCATAACATCGCATATCATAGCATAGCGCAGCTTAGCATTGCATAGCAGATCATAGCTTAGCGTAGCACAGCGCATCATGACATAGCATAGCTTAGCTTAGCTTAGCATAGCATAGCGCAGCATAACATGGTCGAGCATAGCATAGCGTAGCAAAGCATAGCGCAGCATAGCCTGGCATAGCATAGCATAGCATGGCATAGCAACTAATGCTGCTTTCCTAGGGGCTCCAACTTCTAGGTAAGGTCGCACTGGGGTAATTGTTCCCTCCTGACTGATCTGAGTCAACCCACACCCGTGTCAGTCGGGCCTTGCAGGGCCCTGCGCAATCCTGCAGGACCCTGCACTCTCACCCAGGTCAGTGCGGCCCTGGCCCTCAAGGATCCTGCAAACTCCGGCGCTCTGGCTGACCCCCGGTTGCGTCGACCCCACGCTTGGGGAAACCCAACGGTACCGATACCGCTACTCCCCGGACTCCGATGCGAATCCAGCGGTGGCGACGAGGGCCGCCCAGGAGGCCCCAAGACAAGACAGGGGAAAGCGGAGGAAAGGTGGCGCTATTGGGTACCTTGTCCTCCTCCTCCTCCTCCGACGTCTCTTGGGCCCCGAGCGCCCTCCGCCGCGGCCCCGCCGGGCTCCTGGCCAGCCGCGCCGAGGACCTGCTGCGGGGCGCTCCCGCTCTGCAGCCACCCCTCCGCCGCGCAGTTCGGGTTCATGTAACCCGGGGCGACGGCGGGCGGCCGGGCCTCGGGGGAGGGGAGCTCGGCTCCACACAGGTAGAGAGCAGCAAAGTCACCCTCACCAAAAGTCACCCCGACACGCGAAGCCGTTTACTACGTGCGCCCACAGAAAGAATCGAGCAGGAAGGTGCTGTTTAGTAAACGCCCAGGGCCGTCTAGTAAACGCCAATTATCGGGTCCAGGTGTTTTTTCCTCTCTTCTGTGGGAGCGCCCCTGGGCAAGAGTGACCAATGGTGCGCGGCTGAACGGGGACGCGGGGTGGCCAAATCCAAGCGCGCAATCAGCCGCTATCGCATCGCGCTCAGCGATCGGAGGGGTCTCGATGAACCCACACCAAAGGTCACTCCGGCGAAGGGTCACTCTTACGTGTAGTTGAAGGCCTCGGGGGAGGAAGCACTCGCTACGACCACCAGCCGGATCTTAGTTCCCACGCTCCCCCTTCTTGCTCACTAGGGGCCTCCCAGATAGGGTCCGAGCAGATGGGGTCGGTAGCGCCGAATCGCCGATGCATAGACGATGCATCGGCGACGTCGGCGAAATATCGGCAAGGCCAGCGCGGAGTAAATGAGGCTCCACATCGAGCCGCATCGGCGATGCGGCGCTATCCTCCGACCCCATCTACTCGGACCCCATGTGGGAGGCCTGGACTCACCATCCCTCTCGTCGGAAGGTGGGAACTCCTGCGAGGTCCTCTGTGCACAAATGAAAGCTGCCATATGCTGGATCGAGGAGCTGCTGATCCGCAATGGCTCGTGTTTTGCAAGACTAGGCCGTACTAGACAGAAGAAGCAAAAGACGGCCCGACGACTCAGCAATACTCGAGTTGCCACGGCCGAGGACGAATTCAACACTCCCTCCAGGGAGTTGCAGCCAAAGGGGGGGAGGGAGGGAAGGGAGGGGAGGAGTCAGGGGGGGAGGAGGGGGGAGTCAGGGGGGAGAGGGGGGAGGGAGGAAGCAGGGGAGGAGGGCAGCGTCGGGCCCGTGGATATCGCGCGGGCCCCGTGAGGCCTGAACGCGGAGGACGTCGCTCGGGGCGAGGGGTGGCGGCGGGGTTGTGCGGCAGTGCCCCTGCAGCGTCTCCCGGCGGCCGTGCCCCCTCGAGCCAGAGGGGCGGCCGCGCAGAGAAGGGCCGGGGGGGGTGGGCGGTGAAGACTGGCGGGGGCAGAAGCCGGAGGAGGCAGGAGGAGGTGAAGCACGCACGGGCAGGGGGATGGAAAGAGAGAAAGAGAGAGAGAGAGAGAGAGAGAGAAACCTGGAAAGACACTGACGGAGACACTGTGGGACAGACTGTGAAAGAAAGACTGGGAGACTGACTGACAGAGACTGAGAGACTGATCGGCTGAGAAAAGAAAGCAAGAGAGAGAGAGGCAAAATATCAACCAATC